TAAATTCAAATTATTATCAGTTAAAGTTCTACTTTTATCAGAATGACCACAGAACTCTTTTATCATATAAGAATCAGACGTTTATTTCCTTGGAAATGGTAAAATAGCTGTACATTCTATACAAAATAAACTTTCTGTATTTACATACAACCAAACTGTACTATATACACGTTTCAATACATCTTTCATCGTGGGCTTAAAAACTAACAATTTCATATCCGAATAATGGAATAAAAAGTTAATTCTAAATTCAAAATACACGTGTTTGTCTTAGGCTAAAATATAAACATCTTAATTTAACCAAAGAAAGGAATCTGATAAAGATATAGATAAAACAGTCAGAGCATCGTATTGACTTACACAGTTGCATTCTTGGAGTTCAGCCATTATCGCCATCTCTTTCAAACAACTACGACTTTTCCAGATTTCCAAAGCGTATTGTTTTACGCAGTCTAAGATATGATAATAATTGTCTAACAAAGAAGAACGTTTAGAAAAATAAGAATGACCACGTAAAACAAACATTTACTGACCACGTGGTTAGAGCGAATGCATACTTTTTATCAGCATCATTTCTGAAAATTAAAAGAAATAGTTCTTGAAACTTAGTTATTGTATTTCTATTCCAAAAGCTCACACAAGGCTGATATGTAACTTTGGGCCATCTGAAGTGTTTCGTATTTAGACAGTTTCCGATCTTCACCAATAGAGGGTACCACTTCCCGGAGACGGTCAAAAGCAACGTTCAAGCTGTGCATCCGGCGCCTCTCCCGTGCGTTAGCTGCAAGTCTTCGTTTCCGTACCACAGCTGGGGATGAAGCGCCTTCAGTCTTCTTAACGCCGAGAGGCCTGCGGCAGCACTTGAGATCGAATGCGGGACTATCCTTCACACTCTTTCCGCACTTGTGGACTGAGAAGGTAAAGCTAAGTTCTGGACTATTCACTTTTGCTGGTTCACCATAGTTTTGAAAGGTTAGAAAAGAGTTCACATCCATATTGCCATGGACAGCAGAGAACTGAGGAATGCATGATAACGAAGTTGGGGAATATTCTTCGCAGGTTGTGGATATTGCCGGGCTTGATGCTGGGGTTGAGAGACCACTAACAGGACTCGATACTGGCGAATAATTAACCTCCGATCTGTAACGACCAAAGCCTATTTTTATGTTACTTTTCACGGTGGTAAGTTGCGGAGAAGATGGGCATTCTGCTTGGGACTCGTACTTTTCGTGCAGGGACGTCATTTTTTTTTTCGCTATACGGCAAGAACTAAGACGAGGGCAGAAAGCATAGGGTATCTTGTGGAAACCTTGATGCAACTGCTAACGGTCAGTTATTAGAAACTGAAACGTGGAGAAGATAAATAAATCTTTTTTCAAAAGTCTAAAAGAAAGACGGTGTAGCTTTCATAAAATCAGAGAGGCTTAACATTTCATTACTAACAAACAGTATCAACTATGAACTAGCAGCAAACCCTAAACTCTTTGATGCATGAAGATTGAATGGAACGTTGTTCAGGTAACCTCGTTTTTATAGAGAAGCCCTTACCAACCTCCCGTCGTGCGGCCTACTCTTTATCTTGTCACGTGAACCAATCGAAGCTCAGATCATACAAGCTTGATCACTCTCTTCTTTCCTCACAAAACAAGGTCTGTTCTACATTCAATTTCGTGGATTAATGAAAATACTGTTAAATCTTTATGTATTAGTTCAAATGTTTGTTTCATTTGAGTGTTTTTTTTTTCACACTCCCACTATAAATGCTTTCTAATGAAATACCCTAGTAATAATTGTTACAAAATAGTTGACGAATCTCATTGTTTTATCTCCAATTGGGTTAATTACAAACTTTTCGACAAAAAGTGTAGTCTGGAGAAAATATTTTAAATAAATGTTATAATCAGTTGTTTTGTTTTTTTCACAACTTTTGCGCATGTCCGTCCCTCATCTTGACCTGAACTGATAGAAAGAAAAGAAGCTGGACTAACAGTTCCCGCTACCATCCCACTAACTGAATAATGACATTTGATTTTCTTTCTTTCATCCACGACTCCAGAGTGCGGAGTGCCCTTTTTTTTAGTTATAGGATGCGAACCAGGAATCTTCGGTTTTGCAGTCTAAGCACGCTAACCACTAGGCCACGGACGTATGGAAAGAAGTGTATTATTTCAGTGATTTGCAAGAATTTGTCTTTGCGTCCTGATTATATATATATTGTAATAATTACAAATATCTTTATAGGATAACTATAGTTATACTATAAAAGTTATATATTGTGAATAACAGTTTACTTTTAGTGCAGTATTTGCATCATGAGATAGAATTACCACACACATTACAAGCGAAATAAAATATCGTTAAAATACTTGTCTATTAATTTCTTGTGAGGCTTGACTGGTAAACATTTGCAGTATAGTATATTATCGTCTTATAAATACTATTGTTCCAAAGCCCTAATCATTATTTTTTGTGCCGTTGTAAATTATTTTATACGTACATCGTTTTTTCTAATCCAACAATACCATTCTGAAGTTTGTAAACAGGCACTAGTCAGATAAAACTTTGACGAATGATACTACACGAACTACGTGAATAATGTTTGTTTGTTTGTTTGTTTTGAATTACGCGCTAAGCTACACGAGGGCTATCTGCGCTAGCCGTCCCTAATTTAGCAGTGTAAGACTAGAGGGAAGGCAGCTAGTCATCACCACCCACCGCCAACTCTTGGGCTACTCTTTTACCAACATATAAAAAGTGGCTCTCGTGATATTGCTGTTACGTTATCATTTTGTATTATGACACGATATTTAGTTTTAAAAAAAATTTAACATTATTCACGGGCCCGGCATGGCCAGGTGGTTAGGATGCTCGACTCGCAATCTGCGGGTCGCGGGTTCGCATACCCATCCCACCAAACATGCTCGCCCTTTCAGCCGTGGGGGCGTTATAATGTGACGGTCAATCCCACTATTTATATATATAAAAAGTAAATGCCCACGATTTCAAAATATCTATTTGAAAACATTGCTTTGACAGAAACATTTTTACAATTCAATATGCATAATTTGCAAATAAAATTATTATTATTTTAAATTCAATATATATATATAATTTGGAAATAACAGTTTCAGGAATTACCATTCTATCCGTGACAATATATTTTATGCAACTTTTACTTTCAATACTATGCATAAAACTAATGTGTGACTTTTCTCTTGTCAGACAGTTATACGATGGCCAAATGGATAAAGATATTATAGATTAATTAAACACCTTCAAAACCACGAATCACGGAAAATGTCCGGGTTTTAACGTACACAGCTACAAAGTTAATGAATACATGCAGCTGTACGCAATCTCGTGTGATGACATTCTTTTCCTTTTTTTTTTCTTTTTTTTTTTTTTAATCCAAGGTAATCACTTGGTTGGCAACTTCTAAAAGACCGCATGAGATGCATCAGGATTGATACAAAACTGATGAATTGCTAGACGTGGGTATAAAATCTAATTTTCTTGAGAAACATATTTCTACCTTTTGCTCCTTCCGCCTTTACTGAGACGCCATTACCACCGGGAATTCTGCCAGAGCTCTTGAGTTCTGAAGGACGAAAGCAGACTTGTTTCTTCTGTAATTACTGCTTTTGGTCAAACATGTCCTTGTATGTAACGGGAAAATTCGAAATTAACTTAGAATTGGTGGTATAGGGTAGATCGGTAAGAAACAAAAAGGATTTGACCAAATAATGTGTATGTATGTCTGTGTTATATATACCGTATTGAGTTGTTTGTAATTAAGCACAAAGCTACACATTAGGCTATCCGTGCTCTGCCCACCACGGGTATAGAAACCTCTTTTCTAGCGTTGTAAGTCCTACAGTAGTGGAAAAGTAATAAATGTTACAGTATACTTATATGTATAGCTTGGGCCAGCGTTGTATTTGAAGAACACTTTAACTAGCACTAATTAATCAAGAAAACACCTGCGTTATTAGTATATCTGTGCAGCCACAACTTTGAAAAATTATTTAGCGAACTTTAATTTGTCAGAAATACATGTATGGTAGTAGCACACAGAAGTGCATGTATGGTAATAGCACACAGACGTACATGTATGGTAATAGTACACAGAAGTACATGTATGGTAATAGCACACAGAAGTGCATGTATGGTAATAGCACACAGAAGTACATGTATGGTAATAGTACACAGAAGTACATGTATGGTAATAGCACACAGAAGTACATGTATGGTAATAGCACACAGAAGTACATGTATGGTAATAGCACACAGAAGTACATGTATGGTAATAGCACACAGAAGTACATGTATGGTAATAGCACAATAAAGTACATTTTCATTTTATTCCAAAGTATCTAAGTAAAATCACAGTAACGTTCAAAACAAATCAGTTGAACAACTCGAAAATCATTCTACTAATACACAACAAATAACAACTTTCTTATTATTCATCAGCTAATTAAAATAATAACAAAAAAGGTTCATTCATATTTGTAAATGCACCAATTGCTTTAGTTACTTTTTTACTTCTGATAAATATTTGTTTACAAGAATAAGCTTATTAGATGACAACACAAGAATGATTTTCGACATTTAAACTTGTTAAACATTACAGATCTTTTAATGTGTAAAACAATTACCTTTGGTCGAAAAATTCTGAAACATTTTTATTTTGTTTGCTCATGACTGTCCATTATAGTCTCGATTTACAAAATTTTCTAAGTGTGAAAACCTTAAGCTCACAAAGAGAGAAGTTGATGGTTGAGAGTGATTCCCTAACGTGAAAGAAGAAGCAAAAGAAAACCAAGTCAGCAGAGTAGGCGGGAAGCAGAAGGAAAGCTAGTAAAACGCCACAAACTCGAGTCAACAGGACATACCGATCGACTAACTCTTAAAGGGTTAAAAATCCCTTTTTCAGATGACTTCTTCTGACGGGTAGAATCCACATTTCGGTGTCCTAGGCTGTCCAGTATTTTTTATTTTTTTTGGACATTAATCTTCGACTCGACGAATTCAAAACCACTTGGACAGGTGTTGATGGTCAATAACCTGAGTGCAGAATATAAGAAAGCCAAAAGAGCTCTGGTCGATTATTTTGTTAATCCAGCTTAAGCTTAAGAAGTGGAAGTTGCATGACTTCGGTCATTCTTCAACATTGTCACACGTGCATGACAAACAAACATTTAAGAAATGAGATAAGCAAATATACGTGAAAATATCGGAAGTATTGTATTCTCCTTATTTGTACAAGATTATGTGCTTGAGAATTTGCTGCTTATTATATATGTTGCTTGACGAAAAATATCAATATTTTGTGTTTCAAAGACAACTAAATAGAAGTTTTAAGAGTATCTAGAATTTGTAGAGGTAATATATTACCAATGTCCAAACGCCACTTATCTCAAATCTATATCTAATTACTTGGGGATATCAAGTATAGTATGTTATAGACCAAAACAATTGATGATATTGTTTGTAGTGTTATGTAACTATAACACTACCTTCAAAATTATTGTTTAAAGAAATTCTAGGTTCCTTAAAGCAGCCAGAAGGAAGGAACCTTAGAGTAAAGCATACAAAACAAAGCAAAATGTCATTATAGTTCACCCACGTTCACGAGTTAAGGCAGTCAGACGAAAGGGACATTACGGCAAAAGCCCACTCTCGTTCACAGGCTTAAGTAAAATTAATTTTAAGACGCTGCACTGTTAATTATAAAGCTTTCGCGGTATGGGACATGTTCATTTTAGTAATAGAAGAGATAAATAATGTTATTTGAAACTTCTTAGCACAGTAGTTGTGATTGTGTAATCAAATGTTTCAACAAAATTATGTGAACATATTAACACCGCGGAGCAATAAAGTGATTCTTCGGTTTTGACCTTTACCGTAGCCTGTATATAGGTTGGGATTACTGTCGCGACCTTAAGAAGAACCTCACTGGGTATCTGATGTAATTCATCTTTGTGCGTTCTTCTTAATTAAAATAAGCACTTTAACACCTTTGGCGACTGAGTGCTTGAAGCGAATAGCAACTTCTGATGATAAAGCTGTGGATTTCTGATATGGTGGCTAGTTATTTTCACTAGGATTTAGTCCGGTATTTTAAACACGTACAAGCAACAATGTGACTTAGTTTTTGTTGTTGTTCAAACCCAATGAAGAAAAAGGATGTTATTTAATAAGCTGTAGTTTTCCCATGTGTTCCCCTTGTGAACTCACATCG